TTAACCACACCCAGTCTGAGACAGACTGATGACCATTTCCTGGTATTATGCATTACAACTTTGGACACGGAGGAAGACAGGTGCATTCTAGGTAGGTTAGGGTGTTTCCACCCAGAGCCAGGCCAAGCTGCTGCAGTGGGCCAGTTTACTAGATGCTAACGCAGGCTGAAATTTCCTGTTATGTGTTCCTTTGGTTCTATCAATGTTGTCTGTCAAGTAGATGACGTTCTGATTTCCTCATTGCAAACCTCAGCCTCCTTTGTTGTGTTTAAACAAAATACAGTTTTCATGATCTAAATAAGGAGTACTTAGAAAGAAATCCATCCCTTCCTAGTGTTCGTGTCTTCGCATTTTTCTTGGGGTTGTTGAGGACCCTCTGTAGCCACTATTTAGAAAATTTCATTATTCATTGCTGATACTTTTCTCAGTCCCTGTAGCCTTTTGTGTCTTTTCTCTGAACTTGTTTCAATTCTTCAGACTGTGTATAGAGCGAAGGTTGTGGCCCCAGACTGTAGCTCTTTCAAAAACCCACCCTTTCTTCATTGTTCGGGGAAATCTTCTTGAGAGCCTGGCCAAAACCATACTGCCCAGTTAGCAGCGCTCTGGTTCTGTGAACATGAGACCAACATGGTTTGAGGCGTGTATGTCAGGGGCTACTGTCAGATGTTCACATGTAGACCCTATCAATTCTGAATTTATTTTACCTGTAAATGAGCTAGGAGAGAATGCTTTTATACTATATTGTATTTTAAAGGTAATATTACACATAAGTTATAGGGTAAAATAGTATAAAATATTTTAAAAACTTTTGATACCATACACCATAAACAGATTCAGAATATCACTTTACATACAAATCCTGTCTTCAATATTAATTTGAGTTGCTAATAAGTTACCTGTAAACAACAGAGCATTATATATAAATATTACATAAATTGGACTTTCTGGTCACTTAGGAGTGAGACTTTTTCTAATTATACTGCACTGAGGAAGCACCATCTAGTCTTTATAGAGAAGCAGGACCAGCAAGAGGTGGGAACACTTAGGGACTCACTGGACAGTGATGCACGGTCCCCAGTGCAGGGGCAGCACTCACTGTGTCAATTCTCTGTCCCGTCTAGCTTCTTCATTTGTGAATCTTGACTCTGAAACCAGAGGTGAGGTGCGTTTCTTGAACAGAAGCAGGGTGGACAAGATGCGAACTCAGGTCTTCCAACCCCTGGCCACTCCTCCCCTGTAACTTGACTTACTCTTTGGCTGCTTCCTTCTGATGGGAGGAGCCCTGGGCCTCCTATGGGATAGGTTAGAAGCAGGCGGAGAGGTAGGTGTGTGGATAGGGAGCGGCTGCTGAGGGAATCAAAGCACCTGTGGGGTTAGCTCCTTGACTGTGATGACCCAGAAGCTGCAAGTCAGGACAGGAAGACTGAAGGACGTGGGTTCAAATGGCTTTTTACAGCTTTGCTATGCTCCATTTTACTCTGTAAAAACTATAAAACGGTTCAGTGAAAAATGCCACATATCATACACCCATTAACATATTTAAAAAGTACAATAGCACTCTGATTATTTTCCAATTTTAGTCTTGCTTTGAAATAATGGGCCTATCCCTGTAGATAGGAATGGTGGGGTTAATATTTGAGGAAGTCAGGCTCAATTTAAAAAAAATAAAAAGGAAATATGAGGCTGAGTCCTTTAACATGCTCTTTTGCCACAAGATAGAACTTTATTAAAGCATTAGAAGGTATAATCGTGCCTTTAAAACTATACATTCTTAGCTGACTGCACAATCAGAAAGAATCCAATAGGTCAAGTATAGTGGTACTTTTCAGTGTTTTATAATGCATTTAAATATTATCCAACATCCAGCAGAGAATTAGTATTATATGAATGTAACAGGAAGCCTCTTAATTTAGCCTGTGCAAAAAAGGGGACATTTATTATAAGATAAAGGGGTGCCTTATGGGACCAAGACGAAGTCTCAGGAAAGAATTATAACCATGGTAGAATGCTCAGGAGTCCCATAGTAACCCAGATAGGCCACTTTGCCTTCTTGTCTGCTCACATAAAAACTAAAAACGGGACAACTGACTGTTATTATGACTTCCAATTTGTTTTATTCGAATCTATGATGAATATTTAATAAACACTGGCCTAGGTCCATCAGCTTTTCTGTCCCCCACCCCGCTCCCCGCTCTGTGGATGACGATGTGTAAATAGCAGCTGAGGGGAACATGAAGAACAGCACAGGACTTCAGGTTTGTAAGTGTCTGATGAGACTAGATAGGTGGTAAAAACTATGGGTTATTCTTCATGATGGCTCTTGACTCAAGTCTTCTGGCTTCCCAAGAAGCCCTTGGGAGAGACTGGTCCCCAGAGCAAGATGCACTCCAAGAATTCTTATTCTTCTGATAATGCAATTCTCGGTGCACTGCTGTTTTATCAAGACCGTGCTGTCCGTGAAAATGCCTTCTGGCCCCTCCCTGGATACAGGGACAAGTGAAGAGAAAGACTATTTGTTTGATGTCGTCAGATTCTCTGGAATTTAATCCTACACCCTCATGGCTGAGCTAGCCATTCAAAATTAAAATGAACCTTTCATCCATGTGTATCATAAATGGGCATTTATCAGGATTATATGATTTTGCAATCCATCTGAATACGTAACCAGAATTTGTTTTCTTTCCGTTTCACTATGTAATTGCCATGCAACAAGAACACAAGTGACAGGTTTGAAGAACGGATAAAATGCTGTAAATTGGCCAGTAATGGTGATATTTCCTCATCTTCTGGAGAATCCATTTATTCTCTCTCAACAAATGAAGGCATTGCCAGCCCACACTCATCTTGTGGCCAGACGGCCCCACCAATTTCTAGATGTGAGCAAGTCCTGGAATGCAGATGAGTCCAACTAACGAAGGCTTTCAGCACAGGCAGCTGGTCTTTGGTTGCCTCAATTTCTAAATCATCCGTAATGGGGCCAAGACCTCCCAAGCACTAAAAAGAGTGAGCTGACATGCTGGACAAACTGTTAATTTTTTCCTGAAGAAGCTGCTGTATCGCACATCTGTCACTGTGGTGTGGACAATTACTCAGTGCGCTGGGGAGGGAAAATCTGCTGCTCATTTCTAGCTGCGTTGTTAAGGGGCCTCATGGAGAAACAAAGGCCTCAGCCTCAGAATGCACTGGCTCCAGTGTGCTTGGCAATTCTTCCCTCAGTCCGGGTACTGTCCTGTGACAGCAGACTGTGTGGAATAGACCAAGCTGCGATTTCACACTAGTGAAGGCCTCAGATATGATAGGATTGAAGCATAGTATGTATATGAAGATATGAGCCCAGAATCCAGGCTTGTGGACAAGTCACTGTCACTATGAGTCCCACACACTACAGGGTGTATTGTTGGGAGTGCTGTGGGTTTCCAGTTTAGACTCCGACCTTTAACATGTGTTCCTGAGTGCTTCCCACACACCGGAAAGCTTTGAAAGATAACGTCCCTCTTCCACAAAGCATAGGTCACCTACATTGACTCTGTAATGAACTACAGCTGCCAATGTAGAAGGCCAGAAACCCAGTTTCTCAGCAGTAAGTAGAACCTGCTCTATCTTCTTTTCCCTCTTTTCTAGGTTCTTCTCTCCATCCCAACTGTGTAGTCCTGGTTTATGAGTAAGCTCACTTCAATTAGGGGTTTCTGAACTGTTTATTTCTGAAAAGTCTATTTTCATATAGACTTTAAAAATTATGGTTTTTATTGAGACAGAGTTTCCTGTAGCCCAGGCTGGCTTCAAACCTGCCTGGTAGCTGAGGCTGGCCTCCCGATTCTCCTGCCTAGACTTCCCAAGTGCTAGAAATACAGCCACGTGTTACACCTGACCATCACAAATTTAGTAGTAACATGCGAACAAACTGACAATAACTGGGCTGTTTCTAGTTGGGATCATGTTTTAATAACCTTTTGGCCAAAAAGTCAAGAACTGTGTGCACTGCTAAAGCGCATGACTTATCTGGAAAGGTCAGACCAAGGTGGCGGTGCCAGTAAGTACAGAAACAGATAGGTGCCCTTCTCTTGTTGCCTAAGCTCGATCCTCAAAAGTTAAGCCTAAACAGCTGAGACAATGCTGATGCAGCAAGAGACAGAGACTTTGAGGGTGATTTACTCTGAGGTGACTCAAAGCCAGGTGACAGTATTAATGTACAGGTAAGTACTAACTCACAGTGGCAAGAGTGGGACACAATCTGGCAGTCAATGGCAACGACTGGCCAGGCACAGATCCAAGTCTCCTTAAGGTGTCAGGTGTGGAAAGTAATGAGTCCTGGCACTGGAAGGACCCAGCGGCAGGAGCCGCATGGTCCACGTGTCGGCTGAGTTTGTAGTTGTATAAGCCTGTTGCAGATGAATAGTTAGTACCTGTTGGATTAAAAAAAAAAAAAAAAAAAGACTACTTACTCTAACAAGTGTACCCACTTTGGCGGAAGAAAAGATAAAATCCTGTTACCACAGAAAGGAAAGTGTCTTCTCTAGCAAACCAGATGCAACAGTGGATATTACAAAATATTCCAAGTATCTGAGCAGGTCATGAGAAGGAAAGCCTTGCCGGGGGAGAGAAAGAGCAGAAGGTAGGTCCATTGCAGTTTCAGAAAAAACAAAAACATAAGTGTGGTAGGACAGCTCACGATCAGTTATAAATAAATTTGTGAGGCAGATACTGGAAATGACCATTGAATGTTAACTGTGTGTCACTACGCTGGGTCAAGCCCAGAGCCTCCTGTAGGCTCCACTACCACTGAACAAAACACCCAATGAGTGTTTTCGCAGTATTTCCACCCCTGGTTTCCATTACTCTGAAGTGAGGAGAGGAGGCCTGGAGGTGTATCCAGCAGAGTCCAGGGCAGTGCAGAAGGCCATAGACATAATCCCAACTACCGCATGACAGAGCACACAGAGGGAAGTAAGCAGAAATAAAGGAGGGCCAGGAAGGAACTACGCAGATGATGGCTTCTGAAATAATGTTCTCACTGGGCTTTATTCTTTCACTTCTTTGTTGAACGAATAACAATTTTTTACAAAAAAAGTCAAAGTATTCCTTGCTAACAACTTCATTTTACAGTACCAATGTAGATCATTTCTTTTTCTGAAAGACAAAATACAAGTTAAAATGGTTTTAAAAGTATTTCAATGATTATTCTCTTATGAAACATGTGCTCAAAATGAAATGCACTGAATACCAATTTGAAATGTTAAACATGAAGGAAGGGCAGAATTTCTGAATCAGGTCTGTACACTGCACGAAAACGTAGCCACAAATGCCCGTGAGCGTGTACATGCCCACACGTGCGCATTTAACCCTGCCGCCTCGACTTTTTGTCTGCTTAATCACTACAGTCAAGAGTGCAAACCACTGTGCTCACTTTATGAGCAGTGTGGACTCCATGAAGTAATTCAAGCTGCACTCAGCAGTGGACTTGAATTGGTACTTATTGGTTCTCCCTACGCAGGCCTGTCTGTCCTGGAACTCACTATACAGACTAGCTTGGTCTTGGACTCATGGCAATCCTCCTACCCCAACCTCCCAACTTCTGGGAATATAGGTGGATGTAGAATAGCTGGCCACTTTGAAGGAAATGATTTTGAGGGGAATGCAGCCATACACATTTTATTTAGGAAAGGAAGGGGAAGGGAGAAAATGGCTGCAGCCCACATCCGACTGGCATCAAATGCGTACAATGTGGAGTCACAGTGCACACAGCCAAACTCTTCGTTCTTTGGCTACTGTGGGGAGTGGATGGGAAGGAAAGAGACCTTAACTGATGAGGTTGCAGAGCAGCAGGGCGGATTCCTGAGGAAGCTGAGGACGTCTCCTAATACCATTTAAAAGCGATACGAAGGACACATTTAAAAACATGAACTCCTTTGATGGTGTGGGCTCCATGAACTGATTTGAACTGACAAAAATTGATTAATCTCTATTAAATGTAAACAGCGGGACTCATGTCACAAGTAGACATTAGATTTACACGAAAGTTTCCTATTTTAATTGTGTTTACTTCTCAGCTACGGTAAGGAATAACAGAGTGTACCATCTTGCAGATCTTTACAAGGACTTGAATGTAAAAGGGGGGCTGTGGGCAGACAGGGTGGGGTAGGAGCTGTCTCTGTTACTGTTTAAGTGCTCATCTTTTACTCTAAACAGATAAACACTTGTACAATATAAACTGTTCTGTGAGGCAAGAAGTTTCTAGTGTGAAAGTAGAACTTTGGTGTTACAGCAGCTCAGTACGAACCTTCCGCAGAAGCCAGGTCAGAAGGCTCGCACCGTCTGGAGGGTACCTATGGAAAGCGCGCAGAAGGACCAGTATGCAGGCCGCCCTGGCTCAGCATGTGGGATGCTCCCATGCATCCTCTAGAACAAGGTAAAATGATCACAGTAGCCACATCCTCCAAAGCTCAGAGCTAAGTGTGCACTGGCCTCTTCGTGTCTCATCAGCTCGAAATCAAGCCCTTAAAAATCCCAGGGCTTTACAAGACTGTCAGGAAATGGAGTTCAAACAAAGAAATGCAAACAACTTTGGAAGAGACCCTTGAGTACAGTATACTATTACAATTGTTACAGTGTCTTCCACCTTCCCTCCGACATGCGGACAATTACCATTTAGGAGGACAACTGTTAAAAATGCCAATTTTCTAGTGACGAACTTGTACAAGCAGCAGTGCTTTGCCCAACACAAGAGTTCCATAAGCGCTCAGTGTCCATCTGTCTTGTCTGAGCCAGCCCACTTCTTACTACAATTCTCCCAAGTAAGACAGTTCCTAGAAGAAATGCAAATGTCTGCCAGACTGTGAAGGCTGCATTTTTATAGAGGACCATGTAGGAAATGGTCTGTTAACTATTGAAACCTTTCTATGCCTAAAAAAAAAAAAAAAAAAAAAAAAAAAAATTAAAAATTATTTTCAATTTACAAAATTGAAGTTCACACTCCGTTGTTCAAGGCTACCGTTATATGGGTTATCTCAACCTTTACTGGACCAATTGAGGCCACTGTAAAGTAATAATAATTATCAGGGTTTTTAATGAAGATCATAAGGAATCAGTATTTTCTGAACAAAGAATAACCTAAAGTTTCTGACATTATTAAGTGAATGACGCAGAACTGGAATGGAAGGAACAGAGTGTTTTGCTTAATTGTAAAGTAAGTGTTTCAATCTGAAAATGACAGGTCCCCCAGTTTCTCCTGTACCTTGGGAGGTTGGTTAGGCCATTGCCAGTAATCTCTGTTACCAGGAAAGCTACTTAAATCTTCAAATAAACCGACTCAAGAGTGTAATCATTTACTTCAGTGACTAAAGCTTCAGTCACTGTTCTTCATCTTGGAGCTGATCCTTAAACACCAGCCTTTCGGAAGAGGTAGGCATCTGGAGGGCAGGGCTTACAGTTCAGTCAGCAGAATTGAAAAATACATTTTCTTTTACTAATATTTTACGTTCTAAATGAGGTAACGTTCATCAAATCTGCACTGGAGGAATGTTGAGGGCACTGTGGTGATGAGGACGAGGTTACCGTCTGTCAAATGTCTGAGGGAAACACTGATTGCTCTCTGTCCACCGAGGATTCATGCTACAAATCCTCAGGAGAGCCCAAGTCCAGGAATGTAAGCTTACCAAGCCCTTCCCAGATGTGCTTAGGTCTCCATGGATGGGGACCAGACAGAACTACCTAGTGTACGGTCATGAAAAATGCGATCCTTTTTGGCCTACTGGGTGTGCTCGAGTTTCTCTGGGCATTACACACATGCATGAATCGAGCAAGGCAGTAGAAAGAACTGACGTCTAGGATCAAAATAAATAAAAGACCAACTGTTCTTCCTATCTAGAGACTTCTGGAAATTATGAGGAAATGTAAAGGGTCAACGTTCATACTTCAGCACCATGAATTGTGATGGAATCCCATTTCTATCACTGCACTGTGGTGGGGCTCTATGCTCCCGGAAGCTGGCTGGAGGCAACGCAGAGGTCAGCATCAAACCAGGAAGCTCTACGATCATGTTAGGACAACAGGGCATGGGAACAGAAGCTGCAGGTTTTCTTCCTTGCTTTTCTGCTCAGGCAGGTTTTCCCGACGTAGGGGCAGAGCTGGTGGGAGTGCTCTTTTGTAGAGGAAATCCAAGTCCTAACCCTTTTGGCCTTTGCACAGCTTGAACTGGCTCAGAGATCCCTCTGCCATCTCTCCCGAGGCCTGACCCAGGTGTCCATCCCATACTCTGAAGCATGCGGTTCCCGATGTTGCTCTCCAGGATTGGCTGGGCGTTTTCACCTACAATTCCTGAAATGAGAATGTGAGAACCCACAGGTAAAGACCTACCGGGGCTGAGAAACCAAAGCTTGACCTTTGTTTTACCATCCATTACACAGGCATCCTGCAGTGTCCACTGTCTACCTCCTACAAAGCCAAGGCTCAGATGAGCTCATGTACATGAAGACAGTTCTACAAACTAGGAAGCGCGCCACAGCTGGGTAGTCTTCATTGTCTCATGGGTTGTGGTGAAAATGCAACTTATTCTGCATAGCTCACATTTGTCCTAAATCCTGAATGTAATGAAGCCAAACCAAACCAAACCACAACTGGCTGTACCCTAAATTCCTAAGAATTTACAGTTATGAGTGTGTAACTTATGCATACAAGTGCTGTGCATGCCTCAGAGGCCAGAGGCTGATGTGGACAGTTCTTCTATCACTCTCCATTCGACTTTCGGAGAGCTCGGTGGTTGTGTAGAGAGCGCGGGCCAGCGAGACCCTGGATCCTCCGTCTGCCTCCAGCACTGGGGTTACATGATGCAGCACTCGGCTAATGCTGGCCATCTGAGCTCAGGCCCTTATGCTTACATCCCCAAGCCTAGTTTCATGACTCTCTTCTTCTTTATTATCCAGTCTGCCACACCCCTTAACTCTTTGCCACCTTCTCCTTACAGATCCGTGCAGTAATGGCTATAGAAGCAGGTAACACAGGAATGACAAAGAAAAGAAACTAGAAACCTGTTCATGACGGTCCTCCTTGAGACCTGAGGGTGCCTGTGGTGGCCCAGCTCAGGCCTTGTGTCTGGGGTGCCTCTGTTCTGAAATGTGGACAGTGTTCTTCTAGAAAGAGGCTGAAATGGCAGCTTAACATTCTCAATGGCTCGCACAGCACCTTCAGCTCCCCCCATCAGTTTCCTATCACCACAAAAAAGGTAGGACTCTATACCACTCCTCCTCATAGACCCTGTCCTACAGGCAATACAAAGCACAGGAGGATACCTAAGCATGCACAGTGACAATAACAAATACCCAAGGGACTCCAGACATAGCACTCTCCTAGTTCTGGTGTGGATGAGGTTGAAACTTGGATGAAATTTGTTACTGTCCTTTAGACTGTGCACATACATTTCCATGTGTCCTTTGGCATGTATGTCCCAGTGGAGAGGAAACCAGTGCAGCGTCAATGGCAGACCTAAGCTGGCATTCGGGGAAAGTGGAAGCGGGCTGATAGCTCTGTGTTGCAGAATCAGGCAAAGTACTGCATATGCCACGACCTGCCGCCTGAACAGCAACAACTGATGTCTGACAGAGTTCTTGGCTAGCTCCACTTCCTGCTTGAATCAGTACACAAAAACACTATCATTCATGAGACTGTGAGAAAGACAAGATAGAGGAAATGAAAAATGGACAAAAAAATTAAAGAAAAACATTTTTTTGGTCAAAGTCTTTTAAAAACTATATATGTATTTTAATTTTTTAACAGCAGCTGGGGTGGCCACCCTGATCCTGTGGAGCTGCTGAGCAAGTATCAGGAGAACACCATGTTGGTATAGGCGCTCAATGCTGGCTTTTCTGTGAGTGTGGCAGGGAATTTAGTCCTGTACATAAGCTGAACGCAGGTCAGAGGTCTAACGCTGACCTTGGTGACACATCTGGTTACACAGAGTTTTGGGACAAAAGCTTGCAGAAATTCAGCTTTAATTAAAAAAAAAAAATGAAAAAAGAAAAAAATGAGGCCAATCTGAAGCATATCTGGAAATTACAATGTGATGGTCAAATTTAGTTCTAAGTGAAATGGTGAAAACGATGCATGACCGCGATTTTAGAGTGCTGGTACAGAAACATGGAGGCCTGCAGAGATTGCTCTACTTCCAAAGTTATATTCTTATAAAGTGGCAAAGAACTTGTTCTTTCTCATTGTTTAGAATCGTGCCTTTTCTTTTTTTTTTTTTTAAGTTCATAAACATAGAATCAAATAAAGCAGTATTTTACACTTGGAAGAAAAAATAAGGGGCACTGACTTCTCAATGTGATGTACTCCTATATACACACATTAGAAAAGACAAAAGGGAAGGTCCACTCCGCTCTTCATGGGTTGATTCTGGAAGGCAAGCCCTGCTGCTCTCCCATTCTTGTTCTGTGAGAGGAAGACCCAGGAGGCCAACATTGCACTTAGCATAGCCTAGGCTACTGCCATGATTCCCTTTTCTCTGGCTCCCAGCATTGCTACATCTTAAGGTCTTTTCCACGAAAGCTCCGAGTGGGGTTGTGGCAAATGCAGCCTGATTCACTTCTTGCTCCCATCCCAGGCTGCAGCCTGACTGCTGGGTCTCCTGAGTCTACTGCAGTGGATATGCCAACCCAGACGCTCCCCAGAGTAGAGCGTGGTGGAGGGCAAGTCACTTGCGTAATTGGCTCGAGAGAAGAAAATCTCGCATCGGTCTCTCTTAGCCACTGATCTATCCAGCTGACTGCGAGCCTAATTGGCAGCGTGTTGAGTAATTTGGCTCCTAAAGCGTTGTATTGATGTTGGATCAACAGCCAGTAGAAGGGGAGGTGACGGGCTGCTTCCCATATAACAGCAAGCAAGCTTGCTCCATCTGGGCCTGCCTGTATTCAGAAGGCGTTTAATAGTTCTCGCTTCTTCCTCCCAGCCCTTTCGCTAGCCAGCAGAAGGTCAGGGCTATTATTATTAGCAGAGTTACGAAAACTGTGAGTGGTAATTATGTCCTCAGTGTCTGCTGTGGGGACATGGAGAGAGAATGTGGCAAGCGACAGTGCTGTCTGCCACACGCTTCAATCATTGAGCTGTAATAGTACACACAGTTTTCATGTAAGCAAAATCAATCTAATATATATTTCACACATCTGCTTTTGATTTACTTTATTCCGGGGCACTGGAGATGGAAGCCAGGGCCTTTCGATGCTCGGCATGCACTCGCCCACTGAGTGTGGTTCCCAGCCCTGCACTTATATTAAAAAAAAATGAAAATGATTATTTAAATTTCAATAAAAATATAATGTAAAATTATATTCTTTTCTTAAGTGATGAAACCCAAAATGAAAGACATTATAGTCTTTTACTGTGTTTGAGGAGTGTTTTTTGCGGTAGAGGTTTAGGTTATATCAAAGAAAACAGTAATCGACAACAGGCCAGATAACAGTAGCTGCAAAAAGCACTGTAGAGTGGAAGATACTGAGGTGTGGCTGGCACCACAGCACAACAAAAGGATTTAACGTTTTCCCCATCAAATCCTTAGTTAGCTAGGACGTCTAGAAAAAAGGAAGACCACAAGCCAACACTGCTGACTGCCTGTAAGAAAGTGTGACGATAGTTTTCCTCTGTTCCTCACTGCTTTCGCTCTCCTCTACAGATGGCATCTGTCACTAGGAACATGCAGTCTGCCGTCAGGCCTCCTGCTTCAGCACTCCTCAGGTTTACCACAGTAAATCTACATCCTTTGCTGGACACACACACTAGCTTTGGTATGTGACTTTGAAGGAGACAGAGAACAAGCCATATATTAGAAAAGTCAATACCTAACCATATCAATATTCATTTTACATTGTCAATACTGAATACAAAGGTGAAGGAGCACTAAATAAGCTAAGGCGCTGAAATAAATTTGGTGTTCCTGTCACAATTAATAAATGTGCAACCAATACCACGGCTGGCTGGTGCAGCCTTAGAAAGACACTGAAGTCTGCTCAGCACACTTGCTTAGAGGACTGGAGGACTGT